CAATGGAGTCACCTCTCCGGGTTCGCAGGTATCAATGGGCGTCCCCCAAGAATCGATTCTCGGGCCTTTCTTATTTCTGATTTACATAAATGACCTCCCATTCTTTGTCAACGAAGTTCATGAGATGGTATTGTTTGCTGATGACACTTCACTTCTATTTAAAGTGAATAGGAATAACGTATTATTGGACGATGTAAACAATTCTATCTCTCGTATAGTTAACTGGTTTAATGTAAATAACTTATTGCTTAATGAGAATAAAACAAAATGTATTAGATTTACAACTACTAGCGTAAAGCGAGATATTGGTAACCTGAAAATTAAGGACAGTGAACTAAACTTTGTTGACAAAACTGTTTTTCTAGGCATAACAATAGATAGTAAACTCCAATGGGGCCCACACATAGAGACTCTTTCGAATAGGCTGAGCTCTGCAGCATATGCAGTAAAGAAAATCCGACAGTTTACTGATGAGGACACGGCTAAAATTGTGTACCATAGCTACTTTCATAGCGTTATGTCGTACGGCATTTTACTGTGGGGTGCTGCTGCAGAGGTTCAATCCATATTTGTGCTGCAGAAGCGGGCTGTTCGGGGTATTTGTTGTGTTTCTCCGAGGGAGTCGGTACGGAATAAGTTTAAGGAATTAAATATTATGACACTATCTGGTCAATATATTCTTGAAGCCTTGTTGTATGTCCAAAAAAATATAAACGATTTTAAAACAAATGGTGACTTTCACCAGTATAATACGCGAAATAGAACTAATTTGAGTGTACGACCAACCAGGCTCCAAAAGATAAACCACTCCTTATATGGAAATTGTATTCGTTTTTACAACAAGCTCCCAAGCGAAATTAGAGAATTATCACTAAATAAATTCAAAGCCCTCGTTAAACGAAAATTAATCAACAAAGCTTTTTATAAATTTGAGGACTACTTAAATGATCCTAATCCTTGGGATTGAATTGCTCCAGTTCAAACAATTTGTATGACAATACTTGGCGATTAAAAAGAGTGGCGGAAAGTTTCTTGCCAGTTCTTCTTACCCGCTCTACGCCCTTGACTTGCGAACTGGTAGTAAATGTAAATTTACGATTAATTTAACTTGACGATTCAAAAGTGTACTTGGTTACCTACTTGAATAAAGATATTTTGAGTTTGAGTTTGAGTTTGAATAAAGAAAGTTTTTTGTTAGGGCTTTATTACCTTATTATATTAGGGTTTATACAATAGGAGAATTGCTGAGGCTAAATTTTTAAAAGTAAAAGTAAAAAACATTGAATCATATAGGTAACATAATGTACACTTATGACTCGTCAGTAAAGAAATACATATTAATGCTTCTAATTTTACATTTACTGCCAGTTTTAAAATCAAGGGCGTAGAACGGAAGAGAAGAACTGGCAATAAACTCTCCGCCACACTTTTTAATCGCCATTTTTTTTGGCCTCCCACATACTTTCACATCTTTTTGACTTTACAGTGAACTGTAACCCGTGTGGCGGAGAACGACCTAAAATTGAATTTTAATCGATCCTGCTACCCAGACAGTTAAGGAAACTGCTAGGTCATGATGCATGATGCCTTTAAACTATATACAATAAGTAATTCTAAAACCACAATTAAGCTATGTACATATATATGAGTTCTTAAGGATAATTACCACCACCGTCCACCACCACTTTTATGAATGTCAATTCGTAATCTTTGCGGTTCACAATAAAACAAAACAAATTACAAGTCTATAACGTAAATATTCAGCGAATCAGCTAATTATGGAATATGGTGCATATTTGACAACGTTTTACCATTGTTTCTCATCCATTTTTATGTCGCGACCCACGAAAAGTGCAACAGTCTTGCGACCCCGTCACTGTAAGATTATAATAATAATAATAAAAAAATTATTTAGTGCAAGAATATGGTACAAAAATGTGTGAGGTGGTACAATCGTAAGTCGCATATTCTGCCAGACACAATGGCAAAAATTTGTCTTTAAAGGAATTTTACATTATTAGTCATATGAATTGGTCAGTTCATATATTATTTGTATCGAACATATAATACCATACGTTATTAAATTTATATCAACTACAGTGTCTCACGCAAATAATCATTTATTGAATAATACATTTTTTCCAAAAGTAATGCACCAAGTCGACTCTTTAAAACTCTAGTCGGAAGATCTTTTAATTCTATATACATAGCGCGCTATTTTAACGAATCTTTTGTAGCTATATGTAGTTTGTATTTATTATTTTTCAACAGACTGCGACCCCCTTTTAAAACAAACTCGACCCCCCGCTTGAGATACGATGGATTATATTATCATTTATCTGAAACTGCTTTTCATAGGAAATAAACATAAAAAATATTTTGATTATCCATATAAAAAAAAGAGCTACCAAGACCGTTCAAGCAAGTCTGCCTATATTAAATATTCGTGCGTTGTAAAATACTTCTTAATTCAAAGCTATGAGAAAGCAGGGCTTAGAGGGGTTAACGCTATTTAATAAAAATAGGTTAACAATCCTTTAGGTGCGAATTCTTTTCACATGAAAATAAACCGAACCGATATTGTACTACACCATAACGAAAATTCAATATTCCCGGTCAGCAGATGAAAACATTATGTAGGTCAGGGATTGTTGACGTCAATGCTGTTTTTCATTATTCTATACACCGTATCTTCATTACATCTGGAAACTATTTAAATATATTAGTGTTATTATTAAATTTCATTTATTACATTATACGTATAATTTGTATTTACAATTGTCTTAACCTAAAAAGTAATAATCAAAATTATTAAAAAGAAAATTGAAACAAATTTTAAAAATTTGGTCCCAGTGGCAGTGTACCTTAAACGAGAAAATGCCAGCATTTCCTCGCTCCATTATATTACTTATTATTGAGCGAGGAAAGCACCAGCTCTGGGGTCACCGGTACTATCTACCAGACGCCAAATTAAATCTTTAATAAGCGCCTGTGCACTTGAACCCCACGGCCCAAGAGTCTCTACTACGCCTCGCCTATCTCGTATTTATTTATTCATAAGTAATCTTACAACTACACATATACATATTATAAAAGAAATGCCGAAACAGATAACATTGTTAAAAATATACGAAACAGAAAACATAAGTCAATTAAGTCGTTAATAAAAAAAAAGAAAACTGAAATTAAATAAAACAAACGACAAGTTAATATTTTAAAGAAAAAGAAATTGTTACTACTTCTCAATAAAGTCAAAGCAGTGATATTAATCGATTCAAAAACAAGCATACTCAAGAGTCAACGTTTTTTATTGAATCTTTACCATCACAGTCCGCATACATATTCTGCGACACTTATTAGACTCACAGGACAGAACTCTGATTCCCAAAATACGTTCGGGAGTCTGACTTCCCGGGTTAGTTTCCGAATTAGCTTCGCATTGAACTTTCACTTTAATACCGCTACATGTAATTGTTTTTAATACTAATTGTTTCATAATATTTTGTAACCGTTGAAATGTAAATGAGCTAACAACAAAAACTGTCGCGACAGTTACAGACGCCACAGACGATAATTAACATGCAGATTAGATGGTAAAATACAAATAAAATGCAACGTTAAGCGATAATAGATGGTAAAATACAAATAAATGCAAGCCTTTATAAAGACCTAAAGTGCCATTGTAATAAAAATAATATTTAAGGCTCATTTATTCCTCGAAACATCCATCCATCATTACAACAACCCCATATACAGAAATAATTATATAATTTTTTTATACCTGTTCCTTCTCTCTCTATTTCAATTCAACTTCTTTTTTTTTTTAATGTGTCAGGAAGCAGACGGGCAGGAGGCTCACCTGATGTTAAGTGATACCGCCGCCCAAGGACACTCGCACTGCCAGAAGGCTCGCAAGCGTGGTGCCGGCCTTTAAAAAAATGGTACGCTCTTTTCTTGAAGGACCCTAAGTCAAATTGGTTCGGAAATAGTTCAGTGGTTGCTGGTTCCACATAGCGGTGGTCCGCGGCAGAAATTGCCTTAAGAAGAAAATATTGTGGAACGACGGACGTGTTTTTTCTTTATGCTCGTCAGCTCATCATGAGGGCGATCTCTTTTTCTTTTCCCTGGTGGCCCTTCCCACCTTGATACCCTTGTTTGTTAATCTGCCATTGACCATGCGATCGGTATGACCCATCCATTCCACAAATTTTTTTTTAGGTATTCTGTCATATTAGAATATTGTGAATCCTATATGACAGACGATGCAGTAGTAATTTAAACGATCGCTATAAGTTCAAGAAACGCTCAAAGCCACGTGTTAGCGGTTAGTTTCCACGCCCACACATTTACGTTACTGGATCGGGATTCCCATGTTTCAGAACCAGAATTGTTGTAAATAGATTTCCAGAAAACAGTTAACTGATCGTGAAACAAAATAAACAGTAATGTAGGATTTACCAAATCGATTTTGTAAGCATTTTGCATATAGAGAACTAAATGTAAAAAAGATATATTTTGAACTTTATTTTCCTATAATCTAGACTTATTTCATATAGTAAATCTAGCCTTATTGAGTCAACGCATATACAACCCAATACTATGAATATTCTAGAAATATACTATCCTAAAATTCTATTTATCACCATAAAAACCCATATTCTTATAATACAAATGTCTTACGAGAAATACACTCAAGAATGTGATTATTACATATAATGATGCTATTGTTATCTTTATTATACCCTTTGATGATTTGTCGTCTATAACACGTTGCAAAATATCTCGATATTATAGTCGATGCAACGACATCAAACAATTCCCCACGAATACAGACCTGCGTTGTTTACTTTAATGAAGTCGCCGGTACACACATGCGCACCTCGCTATGACGCTATCGTATAATTTGGCACACACAGAAAACCTGAAACCTATAAATGTCTGCGCAACTCACCTCCCCGCACTCTGTATTCAGAACTCAAACTTATCGCACGTTAGATAAAATGGTCGTAAAACTAACTGCCGCTGCGTTGTACGCGGACGTTTACCCCACCCATACCAAAGCCCGCGGAAGACAAATGGATTGCGCCGCTGAGAAGCGCCAAAAATTAACTGCTTTACCAGCTCTTGTGGAAGATGACTCCGAGGTTGAAGAGTATGAACAACCGATGGTGAAATGTTTTGTACCCCGTCCTGAAGCACTTCGGCGACAGAAATCAATTTCTCCGCAAGGAAGGGAAAGGATGCGGCGGCAACTCGCATTGCCATCGCTTTCTGAGGATGAAGAGCCATGAATAATTGATATCAGGCGTTGGAGAAGAAGTCTCGTAGCATTAGCTACCTCAGAGTGAAAACTAGGCACTCTGGCACCGGCACAGTCCAAAGGAAACATGATGTGATTGTGAACGACAAAATTCGTGGCAGTGCAAAAAAGAACTGTGTAGTGAAAATTGTATAACCTAATAAGTAATAAATTGTGTTCCGTATTTTTGCTTTTATTTCACCTTCAACCGGTATGTAATAAAACTGCTGCATTTTATTCAATATAGTTGAAAGTTGCAAAACTGGTTAAAATAAACTTTGTAAAATGATTTGCAATTAATGTTTTTAACAAATTATGCAGTTCAATAGGTACATACAATTAAATAATGATTCACCAACAGTGCGTTGACATTTAAAACTAACTGCTCTCATTTTATCTGTGTCAATTGCGAGTTTAAATTTATAGTGACTGTAAGGATGCATATTTATTGACTATAATAATTGTTCAAGTTACGTAATTACCTTATCTTAACCTACTAAAACAAACAAGAATGGAGAGATCCTTTATTAATTTAGTAAATTTTAGTGGTTTGTAGCACAAATATTAACCTTCAAGTAACACAATAGTAGTTGAAATATATAACAATTAAGTAGGAAAATCTGACGACCTTCAACGTCCAATAAGAGAGGTCACACTTAAGCAATAACATGATTCACGACAGATGTCTTGCTAATTAGTATGGTGTAGTGACAATAATAAAAACAAATCTTTAAATAATAGAGTTATTAATACTAATTAACGACTAGGGTATAACTATAATACTAATTAATACTTAGGCTTTTTAATCAAATAAATGGAAATTTTTTAGGGTTGTCAAGTCATCTTTGGTAAAAATTAAAATTAATCTGAATTTTTTGTGCGGTTAATGCGCATTATGTGTCGTAATTTTTGATTGTTAAATATTAAAGCGTAGATTCCCACAAACTTAGGTCAAGATCACTACAAAAATTATGCAACTCATTGTGATTATGTTAAGCGTACAATGTAAATATCGTTATCTTTTAATTTAATCGCATTTACATATAAATTACATTAATAAATAAACTAGATCGGTTTATTTTATTCATTCTATCAAATTGTGTATACGCTGCATAAAAGACATAATTGGTTTTACGAATTAAGATATCATTTTGTCAATTGCATTTGGAGTAGGGACTTAGGCCGTAGGGTTCAAGTGCACAGGTGCTAATTAAAGATTTGATTAAGTTTGTCTCTGGTAGATACAAGCATGAGCTAGCTAGATGTAAGCACCGAGAGAGTTGCTGAAACATCTATCTACCTATACACCTATATACCTGTGCCCTATGTACAAAGACCTAAATACATACATATATAAACTTCACATAAATCGACCGACCAAATTATTGGGAATATTGTTTGTTTACATTGTTACGATGCTTTGTACGTTATAACACGTTGTATATTGAAACATTGTGGGAATTGTCTCATGGTTTTCTAGTAAATTCTACACCGCTAAGAAAACAATTAGTTTCCTTAATCTTAGACGGAGTATTTTTGTTCAAAAAACAAAGTCGAACAACTATTTCCATGTCATTTCGGTCATGTTCTTAATACTCTACAAATTCCAGTTTATTCCAGTTTTAGAATATATGTACCTTCAAGAATCCTGACGCTCTACTCGCTGAACCAAATACAAAGAAAATGGCGTATAGAGTTGCTAGATTCTCTACAAGGCAACACACCTGAGACGGCCCAACCCAAATCTTTGCTCTCTTAAGCAAATAACCACTCAATACCGGCTCAACAGCCTGTGCTGAGGGTCAATAGATTTATATAAATTAAATATATGTATCATTAAACTAAATTCCAGGACAAATACCGCGATCCTGTACCCCCAAAGAATCTTATTAGCTCGAAGAATTTTTGCCTCTCCGGAGAAATCTAACAATTATTATAGATATTGACGAATCAAGGCTCTATCGAATAACAAATTATTTAGGCACGTGTTTAGAGGTGTACTTAATTGTAATTCTTTACAATTTGATTCGTTCATACAATGAAGTTTATTAAAAATAATAACTATATTCACACTGTTTTAACTAACAGCCCTGCGATTCTGTAACTCACTTTTCGAACTCACACAGCGGTTTTCGCACGAACTATTCGTTGATAAAGTAATTGGTAAAATCTTAAGTTTGTAAGTACTGCTGTTTGAAGTAATAATAAAAACAGAGAGATCAGTGTTGGCCTAGTGCCTTCAGCGTGCGACTCTCATACCTGAGGTCGTAGGTTCGATCCCCGGCTGTGCACCAATGGACTATCTTTCTATGTGCACGTTTAACACTTGCTCGAACGGTGAAGGAAAACATCGTGAGGAAACCGACATGTCTTAGACCCAAAAAGTCGACGGCTATGTGACTGGAGGACTGATCACCTACTTGCCTATTAGATTGAAAAATGATCATGAAACAGATTCAAAAATCTGAGGCCAAGGACCTACAGAGGTAGCGCCGCTGATTTTGTACGTACTGCAGTTATTGATCGCTTAACTCACACGGAAAGTAGGGCACTCCAGTCTCCACCCTCATCAATGTAAGTATCTTACACACAACCTGATTTAGAGTTGCAAGCCAACACTTCACCGGTCAAGTATTGACGGAGAACTTTTATATTCATTTCGAGAACATTAAAATTTTAGCGTTTTAACACACGTACGTAGTAAGCCACTTAAATGCTTGAGTAAAATATCGGTCGTCTAATAAAAAAAATCTATTAAATTTGAATATTTATTTTATTCGATATATAGAATAATAATAATAATATATAACATAACAATACAGGGGTCTAGGCTCCGAATATGATTTTGTCCCATTCGGTGTCGAGACCCTTGGTCCGTGGGGTCGTAGCGCTATGAGGCTTTTTAAGGAAAAATCAAAAAGGTTAGAAATATCACAGGAGACCGAAGAGCTGGCAGCTACCTCGGACAAAGAATTATTCTAGCTATTCAAAGGGGAGACGCTGCCAGTATCTTCGGAACCTTTTAATAATATATTTAGTTTGATTTTTTGTTATTAATTAAATGTTTTCTACTATATATATATTTGTTTGTAATAAATGTTATGTCTATGTCTATGTCTATGTCTATGTCTATATATAACTGAAATATTTATTTATTTGTGTATTTATTGTTTAATCTATTGTATTCGATTATTTGAAAGGTTGATTGCACAGCGTGCAGTATACTACAACTATACATATGTATAGTTGTAGTCTATTGGTCCTGAGGTGTAGTTCGATGTATGAATACTGTATTTCCAAGCAATTTATGTGAGATGTGAATTATAATAGTATTGTTTCTCCTGGGTGTCAAAGATTGAAATAAGATTATTTTGTCGGCATTTCCCCGGAACACGATTATGGACAGGGGTACCGAGCGATGTTTTTTATATGTGTCGCAATAAGTTGGTATCAAAGCGTTTTTAATAACGCTACGTTGTTGAATAATAAGAGCGCGAACTACGAAGAACGTAGTCATTACATTTTTCACATACGGCAATCTTCTTGGCAATTAGTTTCGGAACGATCTTTATCTGAACGTCCTATGTTTTTTAGGACGAAAATAATGTTCGAGGAAAACTTCTAAACCGAACATTTGAATACATATAATTTATAAAAAACGAAATCAGTCTGACATCATCTGTTTTAAAACAGCATAAACACAATTTTATGAAAAGAGAAAGAGCTTATTGATTAAAGAAGTGCCATATTTCCGCCATACAATGCGCATAGAAGGTAAAAGGCCGGCAATGCACTCGCGAGCCCTCTGGTATTGAGTGTCCATGGACGGCGGTATCCGTTGGAAGCAGATAGTCTGCTCCAGAAGTTTCCCTATTGACCTCGACGACGCACGCGAATAGAGTTTTTATGAATAACGGAGTATGAAGCATTATTTTCAACTAAATATACCCTCGAGTCATCAAAAGATTTCGAAGTGGGCTGCGTGCAATCGATATATTTTTAGTTGAGAGCAACGAGAATCCCACAATTACGTCAACGCTGTTTTAGAGTACTAAAGTATGATTTATAATCACGATACATATTAAATAGGTATCGTAATTAGAGCAGTGTTGGCTTCATCGTACGACCCTCAACCCTGAGGTCGTAGCTTTGATCCTCGGCTGTGCACCAATGGACTTTCTTTCTATGTTCGCTCGAATGTGAAGGAAAACATCGTAAGGAAACCGGCTTGCCTTAGATCCAAGACGGTGTGTGTCAGTCAAATAAGGCTGATCACCTACTTGCCTATTAGATCGACAAATGATCATGAAACAGATACAGAAATCTGAGGTCCAGACAAAAGGTTGTAGCGCCACTGATATATTTATTTTACATATTAAATATACATTTGCTAAATTTTACTATTAACTTCCTTACGTTTTAAATTGTTAATATATATTAGATAGAATCGTGATATAATCAGTGTATATTTAATTACATATGAAATTGGCGTTTTGTTGGGAGGAAAAAAAAGTAAATGTTTTTAAAATAGAATAAATTAATCAAAGTGTGTACCATTTCTATCTACCTATGCACTTTTGCCATCTTATAGTTCATTGATCCCTTAACTAAAAACAGAAGAAAGGAATGAAAGAAAATGAAATAAATCATGGTTTTCGAAAAACAAATGCCGCGAGTGACAAAATGTCAAAAATGTCAGCGAAATGAGTTGGACAAAATGTCAAAAAATATACTATATTTATTTAGATTATTTACACGGGATTATGTAACATTGGAATTGTGATAGAATACGTTAACAACATACAATAATACAAATATTTACTCATGTTCATAACGACACTATGTCATTTAAGAGAAAATGATATAATTTAGAAATATATATACAATAGAAACATTTTGTGCGGCATTCAGAAATACTGTATTTTTAATTTATTGAGCGTATTTATTGTATAACTGTTGCATTAGTGGTTGGATCCGTTTTGGAAATATTCT